GGGTGTGAAACCTTTCTCGAAGATCATTTTGAACTTGCTGACGCGTACCGGATCGCCAATTTTGAATCTTGCCGGAGCCGCGAACTTTACGTTGCTGTATACCGTACTTAAAAGTTTATTGGCGATCGCGGCAGTTATGTCGATAAGTCTCATACCGATAGTGCGATGTTTTCGCTCATTGTACTCTTCAACGAGTCGGGACAACGCGTCGATCCACTTATAATTTCCATTAAGGCTAAACATTTTCCACATATTGTTCTTTAACGTTCGGTTGAATCTTTCCACGACCGAGGCTTTCATGACAGAGTACGTTGAATAATGATTAATGCTGTGTTTCTTCACAAGTTTCTGTACATTTGTGTTGTAAAATTCTTTTCCTCTGTTGGTTTGAAAATTTTTCGGGCATCTTCCATCGTCTCGAATTATATTCGCGATCGTTTCCGACATCTCGTTTCCACTCTTACTCTTGAGCGGTACAGCCCACGCATACTTGCTCAACACATCGATAACTGTGAGTATGTAGTTGTAGCCTTTGTCTAATCGTGCATATGGACGCATCTCGACCACGTCCGCCTGCCACAGATCGTCGTACTTGCGTACTATGAAACCTCTACGTGGAAAATTTTTTCTCGCTGGAGCATGCAATTCTTCAACGAGCAGCTGTTTTTCAAAAGTCTGTCGTAGCATATTTGATCGAGGCATAATTCGTAATAATGAGATAATTCCTCCACGTATATTCTTTATGTATCTTTCTTCTCCTGCATTGAATCAGATATACGAGAGGGGACCCAAAAGAAACCGGAATTATTTTCTGGAAGGCGGGCCTCTTGTAATACAGATTTCCCCCACTAGGTGAATGTTCTAGTGACCCATCTGCATCAATATATCAGCTGACGTTGTTATGGGAGGCTGCATTCGGCTTCAGTGAATTTTTTTTGAAGACTATTTCAACGCGTTTGCCTATTTCGTGATGGCTGATTTACATGAACAACGTGCGGCAGTGAAATTTTGTTTCCTGTTGGGGAAAAAC